CAGAGGCTGAAGCTAAGTCACTGGTGACAAACATTGTCACAGGAATGAAGGTAGACATGTCCTCGCTACCACTGCTGGCTGCAAATCAAAAAATCATGACCGAAGTGATCGAGGGAATGAATGACTCCCAGCTGAGCAAGATCGTGGCTCACCCCTATGAGCATTTCAGCAACGTTGATGTAGCAGAGTTCTACCTCAACGCCCATATCAGCAACAACACCATTTTCTCTCAGGTTCAGGGCAAGGACCTCAAGATTGACGCTAACGCACTAAACGAGTTCTTTGACATCAAGCTTACTCCTCAGGAAGAGGAAAACTCAAGCTTCATCGAACTTGATGATGTGGACATCACTGTCCAAAACTTTGTGGCCACCTACTGCCGGGAAGATGCAACCGGGGTAGAGACTCTCTACATGAAGAAGAATGTCCTGAAGAAGGACTTTGAAAGATTGATGAGCATAATGCACCGGTGTCTGTGGTGCAAAACAGGCTCAACTGATCAGATGAACAACGCCAACTCCAAGGCCCTATATGCTGTTCACAGGGGGATGAACATCAACTGGGGAAAGGTATTGTTTCAGTCCATTTCTGAATCCATTGGGAAAAAGGATAAGAAAACTGGCCTTTTCTCCACCAAGATGGGACATTGACTTCTGATCTCCAGGCTAATCTCCAATGCCAAGATAGCATTAAGAGAAGCCACAGAAGTGGACCACACGAAAACCATCTTTCTCACCCTCTCTCCCAAGTTGAATGTGGCCATAGCTGCTGAGCTCAAGAAAGCCAACAAGCTTGAACAAAATAGGGAGAAGCAGGCTATCAAACCTGTGGCTGCTGCTACCCAACTCAAGGTCAAAAAGGAAGAAAAGCCTAAGAAAAGGAAGCCTCACTCAAAGCCAGAGGAAAGGGTAACAAAGGAGGAAGCATCAGAGGAGGATGCATCAGAGAAGGAAGCCTCTGTTGTGGCCCCCAAAGTTACTCCTGTCCAGAAGGTGAGCCAGAAGAGGAGAAGAAAAGCAATCATACAGAGTGATTCTGATAGCTCCAAGTCTCCTATCAGAGTAGCAAAGAAGAAGAATCTCTCACCCCCCAAGGAGTCAGAACCTCAGGGGGAACCTGCACCAGAGCTGGCTACTGCACTAGTAATCTCTGATGGTCAGGGGGAACCTGAATCAGAGATCCAACCCATCTCTGCACCAGATCAGCACATCATCTTAACTCCACCAGAGCATCTCACCACTCAAATCCCAGAACTGGATCCTCATGCTGCCCTAGAAAGACAATTTCAAAGGGTACTCACTTGGAGGAAATGGAGGATGGGACCTCTGCAACAGATTCTTGCTCAAGCTGCCACTTATGAAACTAAGGAAGTTGAAGTCCTCAAATGGGCAGGTACTGATGATGTCTCTTTATGCTTCGACCTTCAATTCTTACAATCTATTCTTGAAAAGAAGAAGGCAAGCCACAAAGGCAAGGAGAAGCTGACTACTACCCCACCAGAGGAGCATGGTCAACCTCTAGCTGATCACGAGGTTCCCATCTTTGAAGAATGGCTGATGGAAAAGAAGAGGAGGGAATCATTGATCAAGATGAAACCCATTCCAGGTGCAGAAGGTGAACCCTCTACTGCAAATGATGTGTCTCTGGCCATGATGAATCTGATCAGAGAATGGCGAGACTCTCAGTTTGAAGAAACAGTTCTTGAGGTAATTCCTAACTCTCCACCTCTTCATATTTCACCAGAGCCCCATACTTCACCTCAACCTCCATCACATTCACCCACTCCATCACCCAAGAAAACCCCATCTCCAATCCATCAGAAATCACATTCTCCTCACAAAACCCCAACCCCTTCACCTAAGCAGCCCTCACCCAAACAACCATCACCATGCAAACCTTTCACCCCCATCAGAACCCGATCCCCTTCACCCCCTCCCTCTCCACAACATCAGAGAACCCCTAACACTCATCAGACTTCTCTCCCTCAGCAACCCAGTCTTCAGAACTCTCCACCAGCTCCCCCGCAGCAGTCTTCTCCTCCTTTACCGCAAGTCCTCACCCTTGCCCAAGGCAATGCTCCTGCACAATCCCTTTTGGCTGACTTAGAACAAGTTGGACAGCAAATAGCCAAGGGAATGAACAAGATTCTGGATGCTGAATATGAGACTGATGCCCATCTCACCAGGGCTCATGACCATCTCTCCAAAGGAATCTCTATGCTGCTAAAGCATGTGGGCATCATGGCCACAGCCTTTGAGGTCCACAAGGACAAAACTGCAGAAAATCTGAGCAGCATTGCTAAGGAAGTGGATGGAATCTCCGTAGTGTTATTTCATCACACTAAGGTCCTTGAAGAACAAGACAAAGCCATCAAGGACATCTCTGATTCCATTGATAATCTCCAATGGTCCTCTGACAAAGCTCGTCAGGAGTTCCAAGATGTTGAAGGACTATGCAAGGATACTAAAGAACTCACCATCAAGCTGATCAATAGTGGCAAGGACAGAGATCATAAGCTGACTCTCCTTGAAGCTACTTCTAAAGATATCCAGTCTGCAGTAGACAAACAGAAGGAAATCATTGAAGGGCTGGCCTCTGTAACCCAGACTCTGCCAAGTGCCCTTGAGGTCATTAAGGAGAACCACGCAACAGAATTCTCGAAAATTGAACTCCTACTTGGTGATCTTGTTGATGCCAAAAAGGGGGAAGATAGCAGAGAACCTGTCCCACCTCCCAGAGAAGCAGAAGGTCCAAGCTCAAGAACTATTAACCCTGCCAGATACTATGAAAGAGCAAGGCAAAAGAGGCTAGCTGCTGGCATTCAGAGACCTCCTCCTCCTAGCTCAAAGAAGAAGAAATCTCCATCCTTCACATTGAACCAATGGCTGAACAGTGGGTTGTCTAAACCAGACACAGTCCAATTTGCTGAGATGAAAAAGCATATGACTCCCCTGCAGCGTGAGAATCTGATCCAAGATGAGAATGGCATCATCACCATTGCTCATGGAGGATCCATAGAAGAAGCTGAGGAATGGTGGAGGATGAGGGTTCTGCCTGGAAAGGATGAGAAGGATGCAATAAGGTATTATCTTGATTGCCAGCTTACTCCACTCTGGAAGAAATACATGATTCCCAGGAACCTCGCTTCAATCAGAGCAAGAGTAAATGCTGAGCTTCAAGAAGCCAAGGTAAAAGAAGAGGCTGTTCTTGCAGAAGTTGCAGAGGAAGATTTCTAAACTTTGTCTCTTTTGCATTTCTTACTTGTAAAACTCTGATTAATAAAAATAACCTCTCTGCCTCTAATTTGCTTGGCTATATTATATAATGTGTTATTTATTGCTTTCTATTCTTATCTGTTTATTGCGTGATTGCTTGTATCTTACTCTTACTATTTTCCTATGCCAAGTGCCCACCAAGATTTTAAATGAAAGTTTATTCTTAACTTATTTTCCCTATGGTGAAAGGCACTTCTCTGGAAATAGTTTAAGGGTTTTGGCATCATCAAAAAGGGGGAAATTGTAAGGAATAAATGTAATTAGATTTTGATGATGCTATAGGATTAGAAAGTTAGAGTACCCCCAATTAGATTTTATGTATTAGAATTTTCAATTGTAAGTATTAGTATAGTCGACGATCAGAGTTGCTCTGTTTTGGATCAAATCAGAAGTGCATCAGAACTGCTCGACCAGACTTGCTCTGTGAGAACTGCTCCATCAGAGTTCCCTTATCAGAAGTCCATCAGAGTTGCACCATGAGAGTTGCTGATAAGCTTGGACATCTGATAACCAATGAGAGTTACAGATCAGAGGTACTCATCAGCGGACCTATCAGAGTCAGAGTTAGAGTTCAGTCAGAGATCAGAAAGCCATCAGAACTCAGGAAGCCATCAGAATCCAACACATCAGAAGAGCCTGATCAGAGCCCGACTAACACTTAGAAGATTTCAAGCAACATCCAACAGCTATGAATCCAACGGGTAAAAACATCCAACGGCTAGAAGACTGTGCATGAAAGGAAAGCATTTAATGCACATTAAATGAGCCTGATACGCTTTGGATTGATTGCAAATGATTGACCAAAGGATCCGGGAAGATATATTATAAAAATAGAAACCTTCCAAAACGGCGGTCAAGTCAACAGTACGCGCATTTAATGCAGTTGTCTCCTCCTCCAACGGGCAGACAACCTCAGTATATAAGCTACTCACCGAAGAACAGGGACACAACTTTGCTACAACTTTTGCTCATCACATTTTCAAGCTCTCTTGAGATTCAAATTCCACAATCTTCAACAAGACAAGCTTACGTTGGGAAGACTCTAATATCCATAACCTCAAACCCCAACACACAGCAAAGTTCATCCTGTTTCTTCAACACTTCAAGAACTTCAACTACATATCTCTTGTAACGAAGCAAGTTGGAGAAAACTCTATTTTCAGAACATCTTCTGCAAAGAAGGGCGTCCAAGTAACTGTGGTAGTGAAGTGGTGATACTTCCGGGAAGCTGAGTGAAAGGACCAGTCATCAGGAAGCAGGATTGCATCCGGGTGACAACTAGACTTGAAGAAGGCGTGGAGAACTTCTTAAGTGCTAGGGACTAAGCTTTGTAACCGATCTACTTCAAAGCTAGTGGAACAGTGGACTAGAGGAACGCGTTGTTCCTTGAACCACTATAAAAATATCCGGTGTCATTTACTTTACTGCAATTTATATTTCTGCACTTAGGATATTAACTGTTAACTCTAAGACTTGGAATCTGTGTTCAGCAGATCTTGTTTTCAGAGTTATCAGAAAGGCATTTGCCTTAGTGTTTCTGAGGCTACCCGGACAGATCAGAATCCGCTGCCAAGGCCAGTTCTGTTATCAGAACCAGCCTTTCTCTGTCACCAGAATCAGACATTCTCTGATAAGTCATTTTGGACTTAGAGAAAATTTGAAAAACTAATCAGTCTATTCACCCCCCTCTAGACTGATTACCATATTAAACGGGACCAACACAAGGGGATCTCGAGAAGTGTTTAATCGAGCGCATTCATCTCTAAGAAGTTGCATTGAGAGGGCTTTCGGAGTTCTTAAGGCGCGGTGGAGAATATTACAAAAAATGCCCATATATTCATTATGTGACCAGAATAAGATAATTTGTTCTTGTTTTGCACTGCATAACTACATTCGGAAGAGCACGATTGGGGATCCAGGTTTTAATATCATTGACCGAGATCCAGATTTCATACCAGATGATATCTTTCGTGACGTTGAGTCTACTTCTGGACAAGGCGTTGAACATATGAGAGTCCGTGAAATGACAGTCATTCGTGATAATATTGCATCTAGTTTGATGGCAGCGAAAAGACGTTCATAGAGAAAGAATAATATGATTTTTTTAAGATACGTTATCGTTACGATTAAGTGATTGTTGGTGTTTTGATTATGGTGACATTATTATTTAAATGCATTTTTTACTTTTGTTAGACAATTTTTTTAAATATATTTTTTACTTGTAACTTCATTTATTTATCAAGTTATCATTTAAATTTATTAATACATGAACAATATTTTACAAGATATTGTTACTTTTCTTATTAAGTTTTTATTTTTAAATTCATAAAAATGGTCTAAGTAGTGATACTACTAGCACCAATATTGTATGATACGTACATAAAGTGTCTTACGTATATATATAAATTTCCACAATAAAAATAATTAATTGACGTCCATAAAGGTCATTTGACAAGTTATCAGCTAATTGTAAACAGCCATTTTAACCAAACGTCATTTTACAAACTGCTAATAATATCAGCTAATCAAAACAGCCAACAGAAACTGCTATCATAAAACAGCTGACACAATCGGCCAACAGCCAACAACCAACAGCCAATTGCCAAACACCCCCTATATCTCCATGTTTATTATATTCATACTCCGTATTTATTTTCAGTTAATTTCCATTTTCTACACACTTAAACTAAATATGAATAAAATAAATATGAGATTCTAAAATAGGAGTATTATATTTTTCAATTATATTTATAATAATAAGTAAAATATAAAAATTTGATATTATCTATAATCTTATTTTGGGAAAATCCTCATAATTCATCAAACAGTTGACGCACTACCAATGATCCTGTTATTCCTGTGCTGTTTTAAAATCACATGCTGTGATTTTCAAATTCAACAAGGGTGAAAAACATTTTCTGAACAATATTCGGATCGATGCCCAAGAGATATAATAAAAACAAAATTAGGCAACAAGACAATAACAGAAATGGAAAACAGCCGGTGGTGACTCCGCAGGGGTAGGCTCATGTGCTTCCCACCCACGTGCACTCCCGTGTTTCCTCTTTTAATATTACGGAAGTATATTGGTTTTCTCTGTCCCAGATTTCTTTTCATACTTTAGGCCCCAACACCTTCCAACTTTCAGCCAGTGACTTCATTCTCTCACCTTCTTTCTTAATACAGAAAATATTAATTTCGCATAATCAAAAAGAGAATCAAGGAAGCTTCAAAAAAAAAGAGAGAATCAAAGACGGATTCCTTTTCCTTCCAAACAATTTGAATCTGTACTTCTCTGTGGTGTGAATTCTAGTGATTCCTGGTATGTTCTTCTCTTATCTCTGTTTTCTTTCTTCTCTGGGATTTTCGTTTTTATCCGCAGATGTTGAAGAATGATTTTCTGTTAACCTCTGTTTTTTAATTATTATGTATATATGATTATATGCGTATGCATGTATGTATGTATCATAGTAGTTGATCTTAATCTTTCATATGCTTATTCTTCCTATTTGAAAAACAATTTAGAAAGAGGCTAGTTTTATTTGAATAGTTTGATCTCAGAAAAGCTGGATGCCTAATTCAACCTCCTTTTTTGTTGTTTGCCGACTCTGGGAATTTTGATTTGGTGTCAGGGAATTAATTAATGATGATGTGGGGAACAGGGAAAGTTATCATCTTTAAAATTGGGTGGCCAACTTCAATTTGCAAAATTAAATGCTGTGCCTGGACAGATATGGTCATATGAAGGATCCATCCTTATTCGTAGATGTTTGATTATTTATTGGGTATTTATTCTACTGTTTCCACTTCCAAATATTCGTGTGAAATAAAGCCATGTGAATCTCCTCCCATGCAGAGCTTTTAATACAAATTGTATTCGGAGAGAGTTTGTTTAAAGGTGTACATAATGGTGTATAATTGCCAAATGGTGACCTTGCCTAAAGTATAAATTCAGCTGGACCTTTACACAAAATCTTATAGTGTATAATCAAATTCTTTCATATTTCGTGTTAGCCGGGGCCTAATTGAGCTGCCCCCTACTTATGCCTCGTGGCCTAGCTTGCGCCTCTTTTTTCCGTAGTAGTTTTGAATAAAGTTCCTTAGGACATCTTTAATGAGAGGTAGATAAGTTAGTAAGATCATGGATATAACTAGTTATTTAGAGCTCGTTTGGTAACATTGAAATTGACTGAATCGGTTGAATCTGCTCAAATTGATGAAGTTTTGGCTGAAACGGCTGAATGGTCTGAATCTTTTGAATGTAGAAAAGTTATATTTAAAATACGGAGGATTTTAATTAATGAAATAAAGAAAAAAATATCTGAAAAATAACTAAAATTGTCCTCTACACTAACATCACCCAATCCAGTCAGAAAAGAAACTCTACAACAACAACATCCAAGCCTTATTTCCAAAAGTAACTATAACCTTACTTATTTTGATTATTACATAACTCACCGTGCGAAATAAAAAATTAAGTATTTGATGAAAAAGTTGGTTGATAAGGCTCATAAGTCGAAAGCAGGGGTCATCAAAAGGGCTCTTAGTTGAATTCAATCTTTTAATGCGATTTGGTCCATGTCCATAGTGTAGTTGTATAACCTCATTCCAATCCCGAATTCCATTAACAGAAATACTTAACTCTCATATGTCTTTCATAAGATGTTGATCATGTTCAAACTTTATCATATTAGCTTCACCTTGTTGTCTATTGGAGACTTTTAAATTTACTAGCATATTTCACCATTCAACGCCTTTTTTCCAGTCCATTGCCACCTTTCTTTTTCAGCTTCTACTATGGAGTAAGTTTGCTGTGTATCACCACATTTAGCTGATCAGCTCTCATTTTCAACCTTATTTATATTTGTTGCTTTATACACATGAATCTACAATGGCTTCACCTATTTGCAACTCTGAAATTGAAACCTCCAATGGTTGATGTGTTAGAATTCCTCATAGAAAATTACAGAGAGAATGGTGGTTTAACCCAAGTGCTTTAAGTGACCCCAAACTAAGCCTAATTTTATCATATTGATAGATAAAGGTATCCAGATTATAAAAGAAAGAAAGAAAGAAAGTAAAGAGATCTAGAGACTGAAAGTTATGTGTACTAATGATTAGAATGTTAGAGCTTGAATGCTTATTATGGCAACAATCAATGCTAACTAATGTACAAGCAACTCGTGTCCTGTAATGGTTAAATGCTAATGGCGTGTGTCCTTGCCAGGGCGGGGAATCACGAGTTGACGGTTATCCATGAATCAGATGCTGAATTGCTGACGTGTGCCCTTAACTTTGTTCTGGTTGTTCTTGGTAAATTTCATTGTACTAAGTCCCATTTCTGTGACCGATGAGAAACCTGGCATACGTGGGTTACTGGGATTTCCTTGCGGTGCCTGTCCATATTTCTTGATGCCCAATTAAGCAGGGGACCAGGGGTCCAGGCCCATGTGATCTGTCACATATAATTTTCTATAAATTTGAAAAATTGCAACCATTAAACTTGCTCTGTATTTTCATTTTTCTATTATTTATCCGTTAACTGTATATGTATATCAGGATTCTGGTTGCAACTTGATTCATAACAGCGGCTCTTGGATGGAGGATGTGAAAGTGGAGCATTTGAAAGATGAGGAACTTGAAGAAGAGGATCACCCCTCTCCTTCAGATAATTTCATCCCAACATCTTCAGTTGAAGAAAACGACACAGATAAAATATCTCAAAGCTCCATGCTTGAGCAGGAAGCATTACTTCCATCCACAGGGAATCTAGAATGCTTATCTAGTAATAGTTCAGACGTGCTGAATCTTCCAAAAGAATCTATTTTGCCAGATCAGCTAGTAACAATAGCCCACATTGCCTCAGAGTTATCTACAGAAATAATTTCTCCTAAATGTATCGCAGATGTTGCCACCACACTTTCCATCCCATCCCATATCGCAAGAGAGTCTGAGGGAGACAATAATAATACAAAAATCAGAGACCATGATGAGTTAGATGCTCATAGCAGTAGCAGAAGTGATGGCGCTGATACATCATCCCATGAAGTGGAAGGGACTGAAAGTGAAAGTTACTCAGAAACAAGAAAAAGTGTTTCTTCTGAGGTTTCTAAAGAAGCTACCAGTCCGGGTAGTGAAAATGCTCTTATAAACCGTGGTCAAATTGACACAACGGCACCTATTGAATCAGTGAAGCAAGCTGTTTCTAAATTCGGTGGTATTGTTGACTGGAAAGCTCATCGAGCTCAGACTTTTGAGGTATATATAGAAGGTTTCTTCGAGGATATGCTTGGAAAGCGGTATAAATATTAAGGAAACAACTTCTTTTCCCCAAGAAACACTCACAACTATATCATTAAATGAAAAAATGGAAAAATTGTGACTCTTAATACGCAAAATGACAAAAAAATGTTTATTTACACCTAATACGCAGTGACCATGGTGGTGTTTTGTGATAATGGTAGTGATCATAGTCATGTACAGATTTATATAGCAGTCATGACGATGGCACGTTGGCAGTATAGTGATTATGATGCCATGTTTTTGCGTACGGGTTCTATTTTAGTAACATTTGATGAAAATTCCATTTTCAGTGTTTGGTTTTATGAGGAAAATGTGAAATTAGATCAAATATGATCACTTTTGTTTTTTAACTAGCATATATTTGCATTTCATAGTTTTTTAATGATAGAAACATATAAATAAATTGACTGGGAATGACTATCGAAAATTGATTTATTGAGCTTGATCCCATTCTTTATTTGTTTTCCCCCAAGTCTTTCCCTTCCGAGTTTCCCATCTATTTTCCTCCTTGTTTCCTTTTCCTAGCATTTTCTGGGTTCCAAAGGGACCCTCTCTAGAATTTATTTGCCTGTTCTGTCTAATATTTGGTGTCAACTAATTGATGTGGTCAATTTGCAGAGACGGAAGATTATTGATCAAGAACTGGGGAAAGTGCAGGAGGAGATCCCATTGTTGAAAAAACAATGTGAGGCTGCCGAGAAGGCAAAAACGCAAGTCCTGGAGGATTTGGATAGCACCAAAAGACTAGTTGAAGAGCTGAAGCTAAACCTGGAGAGAGCACAGACAGAGGAGCAACAAGCTAAACAAGATTCTGAGCTTGCAAGGCTCAGAGTCGAAGAGATTGAGCAAGGGATCACCAATGAAGCAAGCTTTGCAGCAAAAGTGCAGCTTGAGGTTGCCAGAGCACGGCATGAGGCTGCAGTTTCTGAGCTGGAAACTGTGAGGGCAGAGTTGCAGAAACTCCGTTCAGATTATGCCCTCGCTGTCTCTGAGAGAGATGAAGCCGTGAAAAAAGCAGAGGAAGCAGTTTCTGCATCCAGAGGAGTTGAGAAGACAGTGGAGGATTTGACTATTGAGGTCATAACCTTAAAGCAATCCTTAGAAGCAGCGCATGCTGCACATTTGGAGGCGGAAGAACATAGACTCGGGGCAGCCATGGCCAGAGAGCAAGATATTCTTTACTGGGAGAAAGAATTAAAAGAGGCAGAAGAGGAGGTGGAGAAGGCAAACCAGCAGAATCAGTCTGTTAAGGATCTGAAATCAAATCTAGATACTGCTTCCTCTTTGCTGCTTGATCTTAAATTAGAATTCGCCACTTATATGGACTCAAAGAAGCTTCTAAAAACCGAGGAAGAATCCACTAGGAAGGAGCTCGAAGAGGTGAAACTTAACATAGATAAAGCAATGGATGAAGTGAACTGCTTAAAAGTGGCGGCCGATTCATTAAGGGCAGAACTACAAAACGAAAAGTCCGAACTTTCCGCCATCCAACAGAGGGAAGCCATGGCATCAATTGCCGTGGCATCTCTAGAAACCGAGCTGCAGAGGACCAAATCAGAGATCTCCATTGCACATATAAAGAAGAAAGAAGCCATAGAAAGGCTCGTAAATCTTCCAAAGCAACTCCAAGAGGCGGGGAAAGAGGCTGACCTGGCAAAGTCACTAGCCGAAGCAGCACGCGAAGAGCTGAGGAAAGCAAAGGAGGAAGCAGAGCAAGCAAAGGCAGGAGCTAGAACCGTAGAGAGCAGACTAGTCGCTGCCCAAAAGGAGATAGAAGCTGCAAAAGCTTCAGAGAGATTGGCTGTCTTAGCCATCAATGCCCTGCAAGAGAGCGGATCAGGTGGTCAACCCATCAACGATCAGGATTCTCCAAAACAAGTGACGCTCTCTTTAGAAGAATACTATGAGCTGAGCAAGCAGGCACATGAGGCAGAAGAGGAAGCTAACATGAGAGTGGCTGCTTCCATCTCCCAAATTGAGGTGGCCAAGGAGTCGGAGTTGAAGAGCCTGACCAAGCTAGAGGAAGTTAACCGTGAGATAGCCGGAAGGAGGGAGAGTCTAAGGGTTGCATTAGAGAAGGCAGAGAAAGCCAAGCAAGGGAAGCTGGCTATGGAGCAAGAACTAAGAAGATGGAGGGCTGAGCACGAGGAGAGACGGAAAGCCAATGAACAGGTTAGGGTCATGAACCGGACCGTAAGCTCGTCACTGAGTTTTGTGGAGAGAAGTGAAACAAAAGCTGCTGCTTCTAGCCCGAAAGAATCATCCGTGCAAGAAAGCAGCAACGACATATCCGATTCATCTCCTGAAGTGAAGACTGTGAAGAAGAAAAAGAAGTCATTCTTCCCAAGGTTCTTCATGTTCTTTATGAGAAAGAAAGTGGAGTCTAAGTTAGAATGATTAGTTATCTCAAAGAGGAACTATCATAGTTTTCTTTGTACAATAATTGATCTTCGGGTACAGCATATGCCAAGGTGGAAGAATAGTAACTTACACATGTTTGGTGAGGATTATGGAGCAGTAAGTCACTCTTGTAATTACTTTGTGTTTGTTGTAATGTATAGTCATGCTAGTTTTGTCAAGGTATAAGAAGTATGGGTTACTTGTAGTTTTTCTTTTTTCACTGGAGTTGTGAAAGATGACTCACTTGCCCTGCAATTTTATATCATTGGGCGTGCCAATTGAATATGCGCTTGATCAGATATGATTATATGAATAATGTATGAGAAGTTGGAATTGAATGTGCAGATTCTGGTTGGTGTGGCTTGCGTGTTTTTAGGCCAAGATTTTGTCTTCATCGATCACTTTTTTTTTTCAACTGTCTAAATTCTAAATCGTAAGAATGTATTTATAGAAACCAGCACACCTCACTTCAAAAAGATACACAAGCTACTAGTACTTTACAAGATGAACTCACATAATTGTCTGTACACAGACAATTTGACCGACTACACAGAAAAAATGAGTGGCGATTGATGAAGAAAATCGATTTTATACAGACAAAAAAAATTGTTTGTATCACAAATACTTTATAATAAAGAAGTCATAGAGAAGACATACACAAGCTATTGGTACTTTACAAGATGCGCTCACATAATTGTCTGTACACAGACAACCTGACCGGCTACATAGGCAAATTGAGTGGCGATTTATGAAGAAAATCGATTTTATACAGACAAAAAAAAAATTGTTTGTATCACAAATACTTTTTAATAAAGAAGTCATAGAGAAGACATACACAAGCTATTGGTACTTTACAAGATGCACTCACATAATTGTCTGTACACAGACAAATTGACCGGCTACACAGGCAAATTGAGTGGCAATTTATGAAGAAAATCGATTTTCACACAGACAAAATTAAAAAAAAAATGTCTGTATCACAGACACTTTAAGAAAAATTACGATCTAAAATGTCTGCGATACAGACAAATCTTTATATTTGTTCTACGATATAGACAAAAAATTAAATGATAAACATCACAAATCTATTTAGTATAACAAGTGTAATAAGTACTAGTATTCAACATCATAATAACATATGTGATATACAAAATTAAAAAGGGAACATATATACACTAAATGCATAAAAAATATGAAATAAAGTATTACCTCATGAATAATATTTGAGAGAGCAAAGTAAATTCAAGTTGTGACTCCTATTTTTCTGACCGGATTTAGATCTGTAAAAAAAAGTGAGAGCTTTTGAAATGAAGAAAACATGAAAAGAGAAGAAAAAAGATGTAGAAAGGGAGATAAAGAGAGGAAAGAAAAAGAAAAGAGGGAAAGAGGAAGAGAAAAGAAATGAAGATAACGAGGGAGAAGAAAAGAGGCTGGAGATGTTGGGCACAGGGAGGGAGAGAAAAGAAAAAGAAAAGAGGAAGAGGGGGAAGGAAGTTGGGGCAGGGAAGGAGAGGAAAAAAGGAAAAGAAAGGAAGGCGGAAGGGGTTAATAGGGTGGGAAAAAAGGGGGGAGGCTTTTTGTGCGGTGTCAACTGTAGAGTGATGTGTACACTGCTGTGTACACATGACACTTTAGGACAATGTGGTTCTTTCACGAGTCTGAGCACTTGATGTGGGGGCTATGTGACTAGCTGTCTTCCGGAGTTTCCCTATTACAAATGACATACACGAGAGTAGAAAACAGGTGTAAAAAACATATGTATGTTCTCTAGGTAGTAGAATTTGTTTGATTTTTAAAATCTTCCTACATAATTGAACTACTATATGTAATATTAGGGGTGGACCCGGGCCGGCCCGGGCCAGTTCCGGTTCAGGCCTGGGCCCAGCCGGGCTTTTGTTTGGGAAGTAGGGAACCGGAACCGGCCCGGGTAGCCGGCGGTTCCGGGCCGCGCCGGTTTACGGTTCAACTTTTTTTAATTTCTTTTGATTTTCTAAATAACCCCCGACCCCCCTTCACCCCCCACCCCCTAAAGCCCCCCAAAACACCCAGCCCAACCCGTTAGAAAGTAAAAAAAATAAAAAAAAAATGGCCCGAACCAGGCCTGGACCGGCCGGGCCGGTTCGTATTTTAGGGGGGCCGAGCCCGCACCGGGATTAGACCGGTTCTGGTTGGCCCAAACCGTCCCCAATAGGGGTGGGTTCGGTTTATGCGGTTCGGTTTTGACCTAAAACCAAATGTAGAATCAAACTAAAAACTTCGGTTCGGTTCGGTTTGTTCATATTTTTTGTCCAATCACGGTTGATTCGGTTTGGTTTTGTTTGGTTCGATTTCGGTTTTTTCAGTTTTAAACCAAGACACATACTTTCTGAAAAAAGAAATGACGTGCAAAATAACCAAAGTGCAGGAAAATAAAACACAAGTACTGGGGAAAGTCAATTCCTGTCTTACAAATAAAGTGCACTGAACATTAGTGCATGACACTTAAAAGTTAAGTGCAGTAAACTTGGATATAGTGCAGCAAAATAAAATGCAGTCCCAACTGAAATCAAAATAAAATACAGTCCCAAAGGGAGATCCGCTCATTTTTGCTTCACATCTTGAATCGAGAGAGTAAAGTGGAGGGCGGGTATTCGTGTGGGGGAATGATCTCGTATTATTATTATTATTATTATTATTATTATTATTATTATTATTATTATTATTATTATTATTATTATTATTATTATTATTATTATTATTATTATTATTATTATTATTATTATTATTATTATTATTATTATTATTATTATTATTATTATTATTACTATTACTATTACTATTACTATTACTATTACTATTACTATTACTATTACTATTACTATTACTATTACTATTACTATTACTATTACTATTACTATTACTATTACTATTACTATTACTATTACTATTACTATTACTATTACTATTACTATTACTATTACTATTACTATTACTATTACTATTACTATTACTATTACTATTACTATTACTATTACTATTACTATTACTATTACTATTACTATTACTATTACTATTACTATTACTATTACTATTACTATTACTATTACTATTACTATTACTATTACTATTACTATTACTATTACTATTACTATTACTATTACTATTACTATTACTATTACTATTACTATTACTATTACTATTACTATTACTATTACTATTACTATTACTATTACCATTACCATTACCATTACCATTACCATTACCATTACCATTACCATTACCATTACCATTACCATTACCATTACCATTACCATTACCATTACCATTACCATTACCATTACCATTACCATTACCATTACCATTACCATTACCATTACCATTACCATTACCATTACCATTACCATTACCATTACCATTACCATTACCATTACCATTACCATTACCATTACCATTACCATTACCATTACCATTACCATTACCATTACCATTACCATTACCATTACCATTACCATTACCATTACCATTACCATTACCATTACCATTACCATTACCATTACCATTACCATTACCATTACCATTACCATTACCATTACCATTACCATTACCATTACCATTACCATTACCATTACCATTACCATTACCATTACCATTACCATTACCATTACCATTACCATTACCATTACCATTACCATTACCATTACCATTACCATTACCATTACCATTACCATTACCATTACCATTACCATTACTATTACTATTACTATTACTATTACTATTACTATTACTATTACTATTACTATTACTATTACTATTATTATTATTATTATTATTATTATTATTATTATTATTATTATTATTATTATTATTATTATTATTATTATTATTATTATTATTATTATTATTATTATTATTATTATTATTATTATTATTATTATTATTATTATTATTATTATTATTATTATTATTATTCTTATTATTATTATTATTATTATTATTATTTTCCCTCATCTTTTTTTCTTGTTTTTAATTCTTTTATCCTTATATATATAAACATTATTTTTACCCTTTAAATTTTATCATTTTTATGTATATTCATTCCGTTTTATATTATATATTTTTTTATAATAGCTTATTTTTTAATCTTCATTTTCTTTCTTTTCCTTTTGGTGGTGATATCATGTATCGATTAATGTTAGCCGACCCCAATTTCGTTTGGGACTAAGGCTTGGATGTTTTTGTTGTATCTTGAATCGATCTACTATGTCTTTGACGGCGGTTCCTTTTTTCGAGAGTTAAGCCTCTTACATTTTAGGTTAAAAAGATTACGGAGTACTGGACTCGTAAAAAGCCTCTTACGCTTTCGGTCTTGAGCGTTGACCACATGACCTATATACTCCATATAAAATAAATGATTTTTTTATATTTTTAAATATTTTAGTTTTTTCGGTTCGGTTCGGTTCGGTTCGGTTCGGTTCGGTTTTGAGGAGTCAAAACTGAAATCGAAACCAAACATGTTCGGCTCGGTTCAGTTTCTTATGTTCGGTTTCGGTTTGTCATTGGTTCGGTTTATTTGGTCGCAGTTTGATTTGATTCGATTCGGTTTTCAGTTCTACGAACCCACCCCTAGTCCCCAAGACCAGGTACCAGGCCGGGCCCAAATAGTACCAGGCTGGTCCGGTTCTAGGCCGGGCGGCCCGACCCGAGTCCACCCCTATGTAATACTTCCTCCGTCCCTTATAACTTTGCCAACTTTCCTTTTTTGGTTGTCCCAAAAACTTTGCCACTTTCCTATTTAATCAATCAATTTGTGGATCCTGTTATTTATCTCTCCTCTGCACAAATCTCTACCACACAATTTTTACTTTATTATTCTACGTGCCGGTCAAACTTGGCAATCCTTTTAGGGACGGAGGGAGTATGCATTTTCTCGCTCAGCTGCGATCATATGCATCTCAGCCGCACGATTGCGAATTACACATATACAATTCATGTTTGCTAGCCCGTTCTATTCTCTCATTTCTCGAACACGCCTATCTCATAACTCTGTTTTCCATCTCACTGGGGAAACCATCTCGCTCGATTCACAGTTTTTATCTCAATTTGGACTTCATTTACTCAAATTCTCACATCCCTCCATCAGAAATCATTCGAGTTCATCCGCGGAATCATCTCTGTTCAGAAGTCAAACTTTTTCTTTTCTACATGTTCGGAATTTATTAGTCCAGACGCCTTTGAGTTCAACTACAGGTAATTTTTATTCCCTCCTGGTTTCAATTTCCAATTTTTTGACTGTCAATTCTAGGGGTGGTTCAGTACGGTATACCGAATATTTTCTCTCATACCTTTGCCATACCAAAACCTTTGTTATACAAAATTTATATACCGTTATCTTACCGAAATTTCAGATTGGTAACAGTACGGTATCGGTAATTACCATTCATGTCTCCCAATACAACAAATTATCCCAAACTAACGAAATGCACTAAATCAGTGTTACTAGCGACATATTTAATGAATTATTAAAGTGTTACTAAATACAATTAATAATCTATTGGTGTCATATACAATATTGAACAATAATTATTATTAGTATATTTAAGCAGTTCAACATGCCACATATTAAAAATAACACTGATAGAGTATTAGTTCTAGAGAGAAGTGAGAGCTAGAGAGAGAAAGTGAGTAATTATATTTCTCAACCCCCTAGAATTAGACCCTTGGGGTCTATTTATAGGTAAAAATGTGGATTTGGGCCCCTAGCCTTGGGCTTAGGAGGCCCATTACAATAATCATGCCTTCTTTGGGCGAATAGGGCCACTAATGGGTTGGGTACAACACTTTGTAGATAAAATAGGAAAATACATTCTGCCGGGATGAGGTCCGGACGATGCGGTCCATGGACGACTCGGTCCATGGACGATGCGATCCATGGACGATGCGGTCCATGGACAATGCGATCCATGCCGTGTCCTGAGGGCCAGTGCGGGTGCCACGTGGGTGTCCTGCTGGTGTCTTTTGGGCCGTTGAGTATGTGGGTCATGGGGTCCAGGCCCATATACTCTATCAAACACATTCTCCTCAAATAACCTGAACAATATAGATATAACTAAATCAATAGTAATCTTCAACAAAAATGAATAAAGTTATTCAAATAACATGGATATAAAATCATTCATTCCTAATATGATATTGTGTATTTAGTCATTTTTATAGTTCTTAAAAAATGAATAAAACTTTCGGACAAAGTTGTGTGTCTCGACTCGTGGAATCCCTATGTAGATATACTCGTCACATATGTGCATCCTTCTTCACTCATCAGCTACTCAGCGGCTCAACCATCGCGAAATTGTAGACTTATGTCAGGGCGCCCATACCACATGGCTCACATTTTGTCGTCTTATCGAATCTTAAATGACTTCTACATATAGCGTGTCTTTAGTTATAATTTTGTGAACAATGTGTTACCAATACAATCAGTTTTCTTGCCTTTCTCTCACCAAAAAGTGAGATTTATTTTTAGAATACAAATGGGTGATGCTGCAGCTTAAGATGCCAATGGCCGATGATATATGCACTAATAGCTAAGTCTAAAATCCTTTTTCAGAAATTTCATAAACAGTTAAGAATTATTTTTTGATTGTAATTTGTATATAATTTTCATATAAGTTGAAGTTTATATTTTGTTTGCTGAAAATATTATGAAGGATAAGTGCGATGACGATTATGACATGAAATTACTTATCATGTCATTCTTTAATAGAAAACTGTTATTTGGGTGGGGGGTGAGGTGGTGCGGGGACGGGTTGGGCTTTCGTTGTACGTGTTAATTTGATTAATAAATTATAGTTAAAGTAGTAGAGTAAGTGATTATTGGATATCAAATTATCACGCAGTGTTGTGGATTTGCGCGTCAGGCATGCCCACACATGACTCATGGAAAGAAAAATGGTGAAAAGCTATACGTGAGAGTATGAAGTTAACTGTATATTAAACTATTAACGGAATTTATCATATCTTCATTTATTTACATAAGTGGATAAGAGTGTATGACATTATTTAATCAAAACACTAAAAGTCGAGTTTCAATCGTACTGTAATTGCTTTCATTCAAGAAAATATTGTTATAATTACTTTAATATTTTTCGTAGAATATTTGAGATATATTTAGTATTTTCTTACAATCTCAGAAGCCAATCATCCCTTCTGAGTTGTACAGGGAAATTCGGGAATCTCAGCTCGTAGGGATGTCCGGATACTCAAAAGAGGTACTTCTAACAACTGCACTTTTCAAGAAGTACAATGTTAATATACTGATGTAGCATTGTACCTTCCCTTTTCTTGTCTTTTAATCATCATGAGAGGTATGTTGCATCTAACTGATATGATGCTAACTTATGTTTTACTATTCCTTGTTACTTACAGGGCCTCCCTATCATTGCTGTTGGTCTGGGGCTAAGCACATTTGACAAAGCATCGGTAAGGATTTTTTTTTTCCTAACATAGTCCTGTTAACTTGTCCTTTCTAAAAAGTTATTACTACAATAATTTAATATTTACTCATTCCGCTTTGTGTTTTCTCTGAATGAAGTCATTTTTTTTTTTGTTTCTTTTGATATTTACGTGTTTTCGTTTTCTTCATTAAGGTTCACTACTATGTTCAATCACATATCCAAATGAATGAATACCGAGACCGGGTCATATTGGTCAGTGCTTAATTTGTATTGGTTTAGATTGTTAAGATTGCTAGAATTTCTTATCATGTAAACTAATTTATTATTGTTTTCTTTCTAGCCTTCTGCTACCAAAAAATTTGGGCGCCATATAGGTACATGTATAAAGATATTGGACATGACTGGTCTTAAGCTTTCTGCTCTAAATCATATTAAGGTATGATTGAGGTATCTTGTCTTTGTTACTCCCTTTCTATCTTTATATTTTCGTTTTTGAGACGTGCCTAAATAATCTTGCTTTTCTTTTTGAAGTAAAAATGTGTTCATATTCTTCTACTCTTGTTAAGTCAATCTCAAGTGCACATTTTACAATTTCTTTAACCCGGTGCCAATTCTAATTTAGAATATTTTAAAAATAGGGGCAGATGGGAGTTTTTATTGACTTTCTGGCATTGATTTTTGCATTTGTTAATGAATTCCATTGATTATTCAAATTCCAGTCTGACCTATTTTCCTTTTTCCAGCTACTAACTGTTATATCTACCATCGATGATCTTAATTATCCCGAGAAGACTGAGACATATTACATTGTTAATGCACCATATATATTTTCAGCTTGCTGGAAGGTATGGCTTTGTATTTTAATAAATACTAGCAGACTTGTAGTGCAATATGAGCGACTATATGTAATACATTCCATGCTTGCAGGTTGTGCGTCCTCTTTTGCAAGAAAGAACTAGAAAGAAAGTTCAAGTCTTGTCTGGGTCAGGAAGAGATGACCTGTTGAAAGTATGCAACTTCCTGGCTTTGTTGTCTTGGAATTTTTGTAGTTATTGTTGCGTAATATTTTTGTTACCACCTTGAGGAGAGGTCAATAATAGTAGTCAACCTTATATTTTCAGAAGTCAGTCTCTCTGCTCCTTCAGCTTTGATTATTCTCGTAATTTTCTCCTCCTGTCAATATTTATTTAATTTGAATACTTTATATGTCAAACCTAATGGAATTCGTGATTGCTGGTTGTCATTCCTCTGGCTCTGCTACTCTAAAAGACATTTCTTCCGTGAGTAGCTAAGACAATGGAATAACAAGCAAGAGTAATGTCTTGTATATAATGATAAATGAAAAGTTTTTTGTCCTCTAAGAGCAGTTATTAATAATAGATTTGGCATTTGTACTGTCAAATGAGGTAAATATTAACGACGGAGGAAGAGATGCGAGAATGATAAAATTTCTAGCATAACTGTACTGATAAAATTGCGAAAATGAGGTAAATATGGGTTTGTACTGATAAAGTCTGCTTTTGAAAATACAAGGCTACGAAGTTGGGTTTGTAATTATGGGCTTATGGCCCAATAACTTCAAGGGGTAACAATAATTATTTCTCACCCCCCCCCCCCCAAATTCATTTATATGAGTGATGTCTGTCTAATATTCTATAAAAACTCAAATTTTCAGATAATGGATTATTCATCAATCCCTCATTTCTGCAAAAGAGAGGGCTCCGGGTCTTCGAAGCATTCTAGGAATGGTACAGTTGATAATTGTTTTTCCCTGGATCATGACTTTCACAAGCAGCTATACGATTATGTTAAACAGCAAGCAGAGCATTTAGCGCCTGATGCACTAAAGAAAGAAGGGTCCTTTCATGTGGACATCCCCGAACCAGACTCTCACGACACAAAGATAGCTGAAACTTTGGAATCAGAATTTCAAAGACTGGGAGAAAATGGCATTTCCAAGTCAGCTCCATGAACAAAACCTGGGTCTGCACTATTGGCTAGTCGGGTATCTGTTCAGATGAGAGAATGTTACTACGCTTAGGCATAAAATATCTTAGTAGTTCTACCGACTGGCTGGCTGGCATCTTCTCGATGCCGGCTGAAGTCTGGGTGGACAATCAAGTGAATAATAAATCATATTGCCTGAATATGCGAGAGCCTATGGTTGCTCATCAACAGTTGCTACTGCTTTACTAGTTAATTAATGCTTGTTTATGAAATGCATAAAGACATTCATAACATTAATCACGTTAGGACACCAATGAATATAAAAGTAATAACCAGACAAGCTAGTAGGGATGTAGTCATGTAGGATAGGCATGGACCGGTTCTGAGCGGAGCCGGTCCAAACTGGGCTTTTGGGTTGTGGGTTAAGGCCCGGAACCGGCCCGGGACTCCATTGGGACCATTCCGGGTTATATATATACGTAGTATATGAACAACTATGGAAATAGAGTATATTGAATTGAGTAATTACGATGTACAATGATAGGTATAAATACAGCTCATGGAGATAATCTTTGCTAATTAATATACCTACGTATTAGGAGACTAGATAAACACCACTAACGGATATACAAGTATTATGTATATACGTAACTGAGTAAATAATGAATTAAATTATGTTCCATTAGTATATATACTTTTTTTTTGCTTTTCTAATTAATCCCCCCCCCACCCAAAAAAAAAAAAAAAACACCCAGCCTTACTTGCCTGCCACCAAATAAATCTGGAAAAAAAATTGGACCCGGCTGGGCCGGTTCCAAAGGATGTGCAGCCCGGACCCTCCCCCATAAATCCCCCAGGTCGGGCCTAGGCCCGGTACCGGTTTACTGGTCCGGGCCGGTCCCGCACAGTGGCGGGCCGGTCCGGTCCGGTTCCTAGGCCGGTCGGACCGGCCCCGGGCCAAGCCTAATGTAGGATATACCCAAATCCGGGGCAATATTTGATAGATCTCTCACTTGATCCACAGAGTCCCACACTATATTGAGTTTAGGGGTGGACTCGGCTCGGTTCGGGCCTCGGTTCAGGAAAGGGGAGGCCCGGAACCGGCCCGGGTAACCCTCGGGCCGGGCCTCGATTCAATTTTTTTTGCCTTTTCCTAATTAACCCCTAACCCCCCCCCCCCCCTCCCTCACCCCAAACCATCTCAAATGACCCAAAATACCCAGCCCAACCCAAAAACTTAAAAAAAATTCAAAAATTAAATGGCCCGGACCAGGCCCGAACCGGCCTGGACAGTTCACGTTTTGAGGGGCCCGAGCCCGGACCGGAACCCCAGCGGGTCGGGCCTACCCGAACCGGTCACTGACCGGGCCACCGGGCCAGGCTGGAACAGTGCCGGTTTGGGTCGGTTCCGGGTCGGGCCACCCGGCCCGAGTCTAGGCCTAATTGAGTTATTGACATAGCTATGGGCTGATGGTCCCTGATTATCAACATATCAGGACCACTGAAAGTCTGTAACGAGGCAAGTTGGGCCTAAAGTCTCATATTTAGGTATTTTCTTTTGTAATTTTTAAATATTTGCAGTTATATTAAATTTGTGGAGTTTTTCGTATTTAGGATTTTTTGGGGTGAGGTAGGCGAGGCCCCATCCACCACTTCTTTGCTCTTCTATTGCCTTCTACCGACGGACTGACCTATCATTGCATTTGGATGTTTGTTATCAATGGACTCTTGAAACTACCTGTAAGGTTTCGGGTTCTGAAAAGTAGAGACCTAAACGAAGCCCATTATATTTGGAAGCTTGGGTTCGGCCTGGGTTCGGCCTGGGTTCGGGTTGGGCCGGTTAAAGCCCAAACATGAAATCATCTCATTGTCCTTTTATATTTTAAAACATATTTTTAAATAAATTAATTAGAAACACAAACTACAAATAATAACACAATTATTAGTCTCCGAAATCACCAACAATTCAAATCCAAATAAATAATATAGGTTTTATAAAAATATTACGGAGTATGAAATAAAACTTATGGATAAAAATGTGATTAAATTACTATTAATATATTTCATGGTCTTTACGGTAAACAAATTGAACATATTTGTAGCCACTTAAAGTTACATAGTCATTTTTTCATCTACCAGGACTATAATCATATATTAGGAAATAATTCTAAATTATATCCTTATAACATATTGATTTCATATTAAATCTAAATATTTCGGGTTTTTATCGGCTCGGGCCGAATTATAGATGTTAGGGCTCGTTAATGAGATCGAAATTTCAGGTTTGATCCATATTTTTTATTCGGTCCGGTTAAAAAGAAAAAGACCCGGACCGGAATTATAATTCAGGCCTGGTCAGGGTCAGTTTCCGGGTAACGGTTCAGCTTTTCCCACCTCTATTTTTCGGGACGAAGGTAGTAACAAAAAGGATTTTGACTATGAATTGGTAAAACTTCCCTCATAAGTATGACCTCTCTCTCGCGCACTTAAAACTTACTTGGCGCACTAGTTATTTCTCATATATGAACAAGTATGACCGCTTCCTTTATTTTTAATTGATTACCTATCAAGTTGTTTTCAACTTTTTTTTATATATAATCGATCTATCTAATAAATTTATACATAGGTATTTCACTCTCGTGCAATGCACGGGTGGTGCAAGTATTTGTACTATAATAGCAAGAGGTGGCAGAGACAAGAATGTTGGAGTTGGAATACTTTTGTCAAACTTTTATTTTATAAGAACATTTTTTGGGGGTGGACCTCTCCATAATTAGGAAATACTTAGGATTACAATACTATGTTGCCTAATATGATTAAGATTATTATAAACCTAATAACATCATCAAACAATTATTATAATTATTTGTAATACATTAGAATATTTTTATAAGATTTTTTGAATTACCTTATAGCCTTATACAATAACAGATAGATCTAGAGTCCAGAGATTATCTATAAACAGTATGATTCAATTTCATACATATGAGATATGCAGTAATTTAAATTCATATCAATTGCTTCATAGACTTATTATCTTTGTCGCATTTTTACTTTTTCATCTATTTCATTAGTTTTGTGTCCAATATTTGGTCATATACAACCTTCGTCCCTCAAAGTTTGTCACATTTTGACTTTTTCAGTCAAACTTGTTAAACTTTGACCGCTAATTACTCAAAATTAATTATATTTTATCCCAAAAAAATTATTTAATGCGATTCTTTGTAATATGTATTATTCAAATGTCAATTTATTATAGATTTTATAGGTATATATTGATAGATAATTACGGTCAAACGTCTACCTAGAAGACCGCAAAAGTCAAACGTCCCGCAAACTTTGAGGGACGGAGGGAGTATATTTGTGTGATAATATACACCCTTCAATTGCCTTTATTTTATTATTATATAATTACAATTTATATTATTTATTAGTATTATAAATATAAATTAGTGTCTCATCACATATTTGTAAATAACAAATTTTCAGCGAAATGGATGGGTACACTTCAATGATGAGTTGTACTATTAGATGAGGAATTGAGGATGCATGTGAAATCTTGGGTTGATGTTGAGACTCAAGATTATCAGGGGCGGAGCAAGGATTCGGTTGAGAGGGGCCCCGAGGTGAAATAAAATACACATTCAATCAATATTAAATAATGTATTAATATTCATTTAAAACATTCAAAATACATGATTAAATGCGATGTCGTGGTTCACGAGACAAACCACGGTTTTTATTTCTTATCTTTCAGTTTTATTAAATACTTTGTTTTTACCTTTAGCATTGACAGTGGTGGTAGGGTTATTTTTTGGCTACTAGACAGATTTCTGTTGGGAGACAATCAGGTTGTTTTGGCCGCTAATAGCCTCGAAGCCCTCACATGTTCAGCGATTAGTCTCGTTCTTTTTGGAGTAGGCTATTCTATGTCTGATCAGAAGTTTAGAGGGGGGAAATGTATTTTTATGTTGTTGGATGGATAGTTCATTCAATATTAATTTAATTTTTCTTTTGCAAAAAAATGCGATGTGGATTAAAGTTTAGAATGTCGCTCTTACATGTCACAAAAATGTGAAGACTCTCTAAAATAAGTTTGTATAATATTTCATTAAATATTTAAATGGAAAATAAATAGTTAAAAACTAAAGAGCCCTAAAATGATTTTTTCAGAGAGAAATTCTATTCACAGTCTACTTTCTACTAAATACACACCCACATTTCCTTAACCCCATTTATACCCTTAAAACATAAGACTCCCCGAGTTCGGTTGAACGCCTCTACTCATATCCACACATTTCGATCCGTAATCCTATCCAGCTAAGGTCTCAAATTAAAACTCAAATCCATACATGCATTTACGTACACCCATACACCCCCTGTCTAAGAAACCGAACGTGTGAAGAACACATTGATCCCAAAAGCTCAAAAGAGTGAAAAGACTGTTTTCCTTTTTTGAGTGTTAACCTTTTTCTGTATGCATTGGAAATGATGGCTTTTACCGGTTTTTATTACTACATTGCATTCTTGATTTGCAAGTTTTAGCTAATCGAAATGCTATCTTCCATTCTTGATTACCAAGTCACGTACCTCAACTCAGATAGCACTGTTAGTTCATATATTGGTTTATGTCGTGAGAGTGACATGTACACACCTAAATTTTTGAATAGTCTCTCAATCTCGGGACAACCTGATCACGAATCACATCTAAAGGTTGTTGCCCAAGTTATGCTCTTGAGAAATATATACTACCCGACCACTGAATATGTCAGTTTTTTGGAATATTTTAAAGTAACTCTTTTTTTCGTTTGAATTTAATTTAGTAATATTCATGGAAAAAGATATTATATCATCATATTACTAAATATAATTATGTGCTTTTGTCAATAGAAATTACAAATCCTAAAATTCACACAAAAGAAACATTACACATATGTACAAATTTTAACTAACAGTTCCACACACAAGTTGCACACGGGGCATCGCCTAGACAGAAAAGTAGTTTAACTAGTATAAATATAAGAGATTTAGTATTATAAATATAAATTAGTGTCTCATCACATATTTGTAAATAACAAATTTTCAGCCAAATGGATGGGTACACTTCAATGATGAGTTGTACTATTAGATGAGGAATTGAGGATGCATGTGAAATCTTGGGTTGATGTTGAGACTCAAGATCATCAGGGGCGGAGCAAGGATTCGGTTGAGAGGGCCCCCGAGATGAAATAAAATACACATGCAATCAGTATTAAATAATGTATTAATATTAATTTAAAACATTCAAAATACATGATTAATTAAATGCGATCTCGTAGTTCACGAG